GTTTGGTACTTTCCATTCATTAGAGATATAACTTTATATGGAACTACTTGTTACTTTCTCTCCATTGGAGATTCACCTTTACATGGAACTACTTGCTACTTACTATACTGGAGATTCACCTTTACATGGAACTACTTGCTACTTACTATACTGGAGATTCACCTTTACATGGAACTACTTGCTACTTACTATACTGGAGATTCACCTTTACATGGAACTACTTGGTACTTACTATACTAGAGATTCACCTTTACATGGAACTACTTGTTACTTTCTATACCGATGATTCATTTATACATGTAACAACTTATTACTTTCTATACTGGAGATTCACCTTTACATGGAACTACATATTACTTATCATATTGGAAATTCATCTTTACATGGAACTACTTGTTACTTATTATACTGCAGATTTACGTTTACATTGAAATACTTGTTACTTTCTATTCAAGAAATACATCTTTACATGGAACTACTTTTACTTATTATACTGGTCATTCATCTTCACATAGAAGTACTTGTTACTTACTTTACTAGAGGTTCACCTTTACATGGAACTACTTGTTACTTACTATACTGGAGATTCACCTTTACATGGAACTACTTGTTACTTTCTATACTGGAGATTCACCTTAAAAGGAAATTACATGTCATTTGCTATACTGGAGATTCACTTTTACATAGAACTACTATTACTTGTATAGTGGAGATTCAACTTTACATGGAAATACTTGTCAGTTACTATACTGGAAGTTCACTTTTACCTGGACCTACTTGTTATTTTCTATACTAGAAATTCACCTTTACATGGAACTACTTGTTACTTTCTATACTGGAGATTCACCTTTACATGGAACTACTTGTTACTTTCTAACCTTGAGATTCACCTTTACATAGAACTACTTGTTCATTTTTACCTGGAAATATTTCTTATTTTCTATACCGGAGAGTCATTTTTACATGCAACTACTTGTTTCTTTCTATAGTGGAGAGTCACCTTTACATGGAACTACTTGTTACTTACTATACCGGAAGTTCATTTTTACCTGGAGCTACTTGTTATTTTCTATACCAGAGAATCACCTTTACATGGAACTACTTGTTTCTGCTTGTTGTTTTTCATAATTATAATTATAATATTTCTTAATCATAGGGTCTCCATAATTTCCACAGTGGCTAAATGAGAAAAAAAAAAACAACAGTTAATCCTCCAATAATTTTCTAATTACTTAGTGCTGTAATCTACTAATCTTTAGGGACTGATCAAACACCGGCGACTTTCTCACCATCTGATGTTTCTTAACCTAGCTTCATAACAGGTGCATGGTTATTACCAGAAATAATCATAAGAAAGAAAGGAGTTATCCCGAGGTTCTTTGTAAAACGTATGTGGGTAAACATGGTAACACATGTCAATGCATTTCTGTTGCCACGCATGGACGAATGTATTGCTGCATTGGATGGATCCTATCGGTTTAGTTCACTAGATACCACCTCCAGTTACTAGATGGTTAGTCAACACGACCAAGTGTCGAGCCAAGATTGCTTTTCGTATGTGATGAGGCTTACATGAGCATCACGCCATGTGGTTCCTGTGATGTACCAGCTACTTTTGAGCAGCTGCTGGAACTTACAGTAGGTGATTTACAACTGGAACAGTGTTTAATTTAAGTCAAGAGATTTTTGCGTTTAGTCACATGTTTTAGGCATACATTGAAAATGTAAATATAGTATTTCAACGTTTGCAAGAAGCAGGGCTGAAACTGAAGCCAGAGAAATGTTCTATCATGTAAATAAATATAGAGCTTTTAGAACATACAGTGAGTACAGGTGGAGTGCTCATAGACCCTGCTAAAACAAAAGCAACACTACACTGGACTGAACCATCAAACAAGAAGTCAGTGAAAAAGTTTTTTGGCTGTAGGGCGTATTAGACTCTTGATGGCCAGTCTTTAAATAATGGCAGAACCAATAATAACTTGATTCCAATTTTCACGGACTGAGAATTTTGTAAGGAAATTTCCATCACTAAAAATGTGTTTTGGTATTAACTTATTTAATAAAAAATATTCTATTCATCCGAGGTAGAGATGTCAAAAACAGTGTTAAAGGATATGCAATCCACACACTAACATTTACCAGTATAGTTAGTGTACAATAAATTAAGAACTATTTGAAGTTGTACTCATAAAGAACTTTCACCACTATCTTCTTATTGAGTAGATCAAGTGACGAATAAATGTAAGAGATCTGGAAAGTGGACTCTATTAAGTGGATAAGTCCATATAAATGTTTGTTGATTGCACAAGTTTGGATGTCAACAGATAGGTAAGTGGCCAAAAGACAATTTGTTTCTTTAAGAACAAGGACAGATTGGTCTATCTGCTATGTCCACTGCAGGGAATCGAACTCCAAATTTTAAACCTTTCAGTCCTTAAACTTACCACTATCCAGTGTGTGATCCAAAAGACAGAGGAGAACATATGACAAGATGATGAAAGAATATTAGTGTGACCAAAAAGACTGGGTGTGGCTCTGGTA